TAGCTTGTGTCCCAAGGTCTCTGCGCAAGCATAGATTGAGAGGACAAATGTCTGAGGGATGAAGGAGAGCAGAACCGGGTAGGAAAGTGGGCCTGGACAGGGTCATGCAGAAGGACGGCTGTCCAGTAGGTGCAGCCACATAGGATCATACCTATTTCCATTGTGTTCACAACCGAGAATTTGCAGCTTGCCTAATTAGTACAGCTAATACATTTATTTGGAAAATAACACCATGTAGCATTATTAAAAATACACAAAACAGAAACTATAGGATAAGATTCTAAACGACTGAACAGAACTCAAAGCTCCAATATGTTCCTCACCCCAACAATAGATGATATAGTGTCCCCACCCCACCCTGAGATGGGGGAGACCTGCAGTTGAAAGCACTCTGGAGCATTTCTGCCATTTGACAGACAGGTGTGATAGAATGTTGCTTATAGCAACACTGTTCACAGAGCATCTGAGCCCATCTCCAGAGAGGAAACCTCACAGGTAGAGAAGATGGCCAAGGTCCTACTCACAGGATGACATCTATTTTAAAAAGCAAAAGACCTTCTTTGAGGTTTTCCTTTGTCAAATGTTTGCTTGTCCCTTTACTTTCTGTGTTTGTCTCCGTGCCTGTTGTCGGGAAGCGTGTACTGAGCTCTGCTTTGGGGCAGGTTCCGTCGGCTGATGCTGATGCCGGACCCTGGGAAGCTGGCCGACCTATCACACAGGACAGAGGCCAGAGCGATGGGATAATATGTTAATATGCTCAGAGAGGCCTGGGGAGGTGTTTGCTGGCGCTCCTCTCATGAAAGATTTGTAAGCATCTGAATCTGCTTTCTTTTCTATTGGGAGTGTTCTCTGTTGTGGTCTAGTTGTGGTTGTCGGGGTTTTGTTGTTAGCTTCCTGTTTGTGTTTTGTATGATTGTGTGCGTATGGAATCCGGGCTAGGTAAATCTATAGAGACAGTAACTGGATTAATAATTACCTAGGGGCATCGAAGGGGAGGTTGAGGGGAAGCAAAGAGCTAACAGCAGTGAGTATGAGAAAGAAGAAAATGTTCTCAAAGAGATGGTGGTGACGACTGCACAGTTCTTGTTAACAGGACTGAATGACTAAATTGTATGATATGTGAAGTCTATGCCAATCAAACGCTATTTTCAATAAGAATTAAGTTCACATAACACACAAAATAAATAAATTTGCTTCTTGTCAAATAACTGTAAGAAGTGGAGGTCAGTCAGGGGACAGTTCTGAGGACGCAGCGCTGGTGGCAGCGGGCATGAGTCTGACCGGCCCTCTGTGAAGGTGGCCGATGCTGAAGGGAGGCTTGTAGCTCCGTTTCCTCACTCTCTGTCATTGCCAGCCCTCTGCCTGGGGAG